AAGTCTTACTGGTAGAAAATATAAAATGATTTTAGTGACATTTCACTGAAAAAGACAGTTTTGAAATTTGAGCTTGTGATATTAGATTTATACATTTTTGTACTGATACATGTAAAGCTGTTAGAGGAAGAATTATCATCAATATGTGGATATCAAAGTATGATGTAGACATTGTGCTTGGTGAAATGCGCTGTATTAAATCTGAGGAGGATAAACATTTGTTGAATAATTTTAGTCTCATAAAAATACATTAATCAGTCTAATAAAAAACCACATGGATGTCAAATATTGCGATATAAGGTCATCTTAAATCTAAAGGAGTATCAGCATTAACATCCTATACAGCCTTCATTTTATGTTTGTATGAAGTTTCAGCTCAATTTTATGTTTTAACTTAAACATGTTGTACTTTTTTATTTGCATATAAATATGATTATGAAATTTTGACAAATATAGAGAAATATAACTATGAACATGTACTTAAAATATAGGAAAATATTGGAGTATAGGATCTCTTAACACCCTCTAGGCAAAATAATAGGAGACATCTTGTTTGCCATGTCATTGCCATTTTTAATCCTTAATGAAAAGACGAGGTAAATTTACAGTCAAAGGGGGACAACTCAATTTTTACACAATTTGCAAAGAATCCTTTCTCTTGTAAACATGGTCTTAAGTCTGTAGAAATTGGAATCAAATTGAATAAATATGTCACTGTTTAGGTCCATTACTTGGAAATTGCAATCAAGAAAGGTTTAAGTTTACATTAAAACGGAAATTAGATATTTATTATATTATTATTTTCAAGAACATACGGAGTTGAAAGACATAAAACCATGCAATAATGTTCTTAAGAAGGCACATAACAAATGTTGTTACTTTTGTTGTAAGTTATTGTAAAGTCCAAATGTGGTGAAAAGAGTCATAAATGTGGTCACATTGGTCAAAATTTCAATCATCTTTTAAAAAAATGCTTTATTTAACCAAATTTGACAGATATTAGTCTTAACAAGTGTTATATTTTGGTACTGTTTAAAAAAAAATATAAATAGCTGTCATAAGAGGTTTAAGTTTTATATTGTTGAATTATATTTTGATTTTATTGTTGTGAGTTGTGACCAGATTTTAGTGAAATGAAATAAAACTGTGCAGGAATGTTCTTATATGGTAATTACTGAGAGAGGTTGCATTACTGACAATACCAATATGTCTCGTATAAACTCAAAGGGGGTCAGATTGTTTACCAATGAAGCAATTGAAACCACATTTAGTGATATATTTTATAAGGGTCCTTAATAAGAGTTGATACCTTTCACTATATCCGATAGGATATTCAAAATGGCTTCCATACTCTGGTGATTGAACACTAAGTCTTCTGTTTATAAAGTAGTCTGTTGTATTACACATTTATGCATGTCAGTTTCATGCAAATTACAAGAATCACCTTTTTACTTGTGCTGTAGTAATTTCTGAATTTATTTTATACCGGTATGTATTGTCCAAGTTATAAGTTTCCTTATTTGGATTTTTATGAAAATCTTATTTTACAAAAGATCATTGATGTTTCTATTTCATACTAAACAAGTAATTATTTGAATCTGAAATAATTTTGAATTCTGGAAAATTAATAAGAAATGTATGATGAAAATTAACCCAACATTAGTGGGTTATCCATGTGCACATGGCTAAGGTTCAAGTTACTTTCACTGATATTTCAGTATGAACTAACTAACCCCCCTTAGCCATGCATGCATTGCTAACCCTCATTAATTGGGTTAGTTTTCATTATACATTTCTTATCAATTTTCCAGAATTCAAAATTATTCCAGATTCAAATAATTCTGTGTTTTACATTATTATATGCATTTCAGTACAAGCAGAATATAATGCTCTGCTCCATAGCCATGCTTTAGTGACTTTAAATAAGTTTGCCTTTAAAAAAGCATCCATGCAGAGTATGAGGCTCTACTGTCGTAGTTTCGTTTCATTGACTGTTGAGGTTTTACAGTGCTAAAATGTTAAGTTTTCTGTGAAGATATATTTATGAAAAAGTTCTTACACAAATGAAAGGTAATTGATATTTGGTGTTCTGTTGTGGTATCATTCATGCATCTGAGTAAATAGTAATGCATTATAAGTTATAAGTATTAATTTAGATCCTATCACTCTGTCATATTCTGTATTCTCGAAATGATTTCTGATAGAGTATGATAGACCATTGGTAATTAAAAGATATTATGTTAGCATATTGATATCTAAGTTAATATCGTATTATCATGAAGAATCCGACACCCACCTCTCCATTTGCAATGAATTTGAAGCCATTTTCTCATTGTTCAATTTCAATTTGGATGATCATATGAGTTTTAAAAAAAACTCTCTGCGTGATATCACTTCAAAAACCATGCTGTAATATGACAAACAAATTGCTGTTTTTAGTTTAGCTGCAAAGTAAGTATGATAGGACCTTTTAATGACATCTGCTGAATGACAAAAAGTCTATTTTTCTTTTGATAGGAATTTGAAAAAAAAGGTAATTAAGCATTACTTTGTGTATAATTTATTTGAATGTCCTTTTTAACCTAGTTTTGGCAGTTTAGATATATATTCTCTTTTGAAACAACAAAACCAATTTTAGTTTAAAATAGGTCTGAACCATCTGAAGTATTTTTTCAATCATGTTTATTTGTTGGTGTTTAAATGCCACTATCAGTGGACCTTGGCTATATAATAGCAGCTAGTTTTTATATAAGTAAAGAAAGTCAGAGTTTCCAGAGAGAACCATCAACCTTCGGCAGGAAAACTGTCAATCATTGTCAATCCTTGTCAGTTGAAATCGAACACAACTCACCATGAGAGTGGTTAGAACTCACAACCTCAGACTTTACAGGCTATTGATCTGACAATGTAGATGAACTACTTAGACCACTTTGCCACTGAGGTTCCCTCCAAATATGTGGTTTGCCACTAAATAACAGTTTTTCATTAGTGAGTCTATATTATTTAAAAATGTCAGATAAAAAAACCATCTCTTTTGATCCCATAGTTAAATACAATTTAGTGGCTTGTAATTTTTATGCCTAGTCTATAATAGAAGGGGGAATTACCAGTAGGTTTTCTAGTCTGTCTGTTTGTATACATGTCTGTCTCTAAGTCCACTCATCCCCAAGGGTGACTGGGGAATAGAAATATGGTCACTACAGGTCTTCTTCCGACCGGCATTAAAACCCTTTCCAAAGTTGGGCTGTGTGGGATCTATCAAGTACGCAGCCACATCCGGTCAGAATGGGGACATTAAATCTGATGCCTCGTGTAGAGAGAGTGCCATGCTCTCTGCAAGTTAAGAGCCCTTGCAACAACTCTTTGAGAGGTCCGTATGTGGCCTGTTGCAAGGCTAAATTTCTGCCCCTATCCATTTTACCTTCATTTTCCATTGGCAGTCCAAATTTACCCCGACCTTCATTCCAAACAGCCTCTATTACAGGACCTACCTATTGTATTTACCAGGTATTGTTAATTTGTTCTCTTCTTGAACATTCATGAAATATTTGCCACTGGACATTAAGCAACCAACCAAAAATCATCCAAGTTCACTCTTCTGTCACATATCAGTTTAAAGTTTTGGTTTAAGGTAATTACCATGTGGTCAAATCAACTTGAAATTTAGTACATTAATTTATTATGATGTGAACCATTTTTAAAATACATTTGAACCAGATTTCATGGACATGGAAATTTGATAATGTGAACTGGGCATGGTGTGCTATGGTTGCATATTCTTGTTTTATTTATTTTTCTGTTAGAAAGCTGAATAATTTTGAGATTAAAATGAACCTTTATCTGATGTAAAAAAAAGTAAGGAGATACTTAGGGAGCAATAAAAATCGAAATTGAGGAGGCACAGACAACTCCAAGGTCAAAAGAAAAAGAAAGGAATAGACAAACAAAGCCCAAAACTAACTATTGGTCACATCATCCCATAAATCCTTTGGAGAAGGTGTGGATGGGGGTTTAAAGAATAGAGAATAATGGACAAAAAGTAGAAATAATAGACAAAAATGGCCTAAAAATATAAAGAATACAGAAATGAAGGACCCCCATCCAGACCCGCCTTGGAAGTGCTCAAGAAGTGTTAAAGATAAACAGTTTTCAAAGGATTGCTATTTCAAATCAATAATGATAGCTGATGTTTCCTCAATTCTTAGTTTAGTTTGGAATCAATTCTTTAACGTTGAGTGTTGCAAGCTTCTCAGCTAGAGTCTTTAATATTTTCAACTAAGTTGACAAATATATATCAGAATAATGAGTTTAGAGCATCTTACTGCCAAGATGTAAAATTTAAGGGAGCTAACATTATTACTCGAAAAGACATATGGTTTCAGATGGACCTAGTGTGTTATCAATGTATTGAGAGTTGAGACTATTGATTAAATTAATAATTAGGATGTAGTTTATTCTCTTAAATTATTTGAATTACACTTATTGATTGTTAAACAGGAAATTGTCATTTATAATAAACTGGTACATTTGATATCCAGGAAACATTTTTTTTACATTATCATTTGACAAAAAAAAATGTTTGAAGAGCACTGAAGTGATTGACAGGATGTCCATTAGAGTTACTTCCCTTAGCATACAAATCTTATGATGAACTTCTACTTATTTGGTATTCTCATTCAATGAATAAAGATGACACAGATTAAGATAGAAAAAAGTGGATAATGCAAAATCATCAATATCATATTAGTATATTTTAATTTTGAATTAGAAATTATTTGTTTTCATTTTGTTTTTAAGGTAGAAATTTTATTTTATTTTATAAATTGACAAATTTTGGGTTGTAGTTACTTCCCTTTTCATTCAGATCATATTTTAGTCTAATAATTTTTGTTGTGGTTACTTCCCTTTTGCCCCAGGTTTATAGTTCTGTTGTAAATAGTTATAGATTTGACTGATTCAGGCTTGATAAACTAATTTAGTTGTTATTTGTATATTTGCAGGATGGTCTGATTATAGAGAATATGCATGACATACCTTATGTGCATACAGATAAAGTTGGACCAGAAATTACTGCCAGTATGGCTGTAATATGCCATCAGATCAAAAAAATCTTCACATCTGGTCCTGTTGGAGTCCAGATATTAGCTGGTGCTAATAAACAAGCTTTATCTGTTGCCAAGGCTGCAGGTGTGGTATGTTTCATGGCTGTACCTGTAGGTTGTATTTTCTGTATTAGCAGCTCTGAAACTAAATGCTCCATAGGGTATCACTATGAATAGACAATATAGGAATACAGCAGGCATAGAGAAATTCTACCTGTAAATACTTGAACGTCTGAAGATAACCAAGCTTAAAGTGCCATATTTTATCTAGCATGTTCCATAAGTTGTTGTATTTCAGAATTGTATATAGGTTCACAAGTGCATCATAAATGTAAATATAAACATATATTATGTTTTGAAAAAAATAAGCAAATCTACAAAAGAAAAGAAAACATTCTAAATTTTAGTTTGGGAGTACATTAAATAAATATGACTGCCGCATCTTACAATAACTAAATGTTGAGGTAGATTGGATGAAAACTGAAGAACATTTTATTAGATCCTTAAAGAAAATCTCTTTTTAGCTCACCTGGCCCAAAGGGCCAAGTGAGCTTTTCTCATCACTTGGCGTCCGTCGTCCGTCGTCGTTAGCTTTTTACAAAAATCTTCTCCTCTGGAACCACTGGGCCAAATTTAACCAAACTTGGCCACAATCATCATTAGGGTATCTTGTTTAAAAAATGTGTCCGATGACCCCGCCAACCAACCAAGATGGCCGCCATGGCTAAAAATAGAACATAGGGGTAAAATGTAGATTTTGGCTTATATCTCTGAAACCAAAGCATTTAGAGTAAATCTGACATAGGGTAAAACTGATTATCAGGTCAAGATCTATCTTCCCTCAAATTTTCAGACAAATCTGACAACCTGTTGTTGGGTGCTGCCCCTGAATTGGTAATTTTAAGGAAATTTTGCAGTTTTTGGTTATTATCTTGAATATTATTATAGATAGAGATAAACTGTAAACAGCAATAATGTTCAGCAAAGTAAGATCTACAAATAAGTTGTCATGACCAAAATTGTCAGTCGACCCCTTTAGGAGTTATTGCCCTTAATAGTCAATTTTTAACAATTTTTTGTAAATTTTTGTAATCTTTTACAAAAATCTTCTTCTCTGAAACTACTGAGACAAATTTAACCATACTTGGCCATAATCATTATTAGGGTATTTAGTTTAAAAAAATTTGTCCGATGACCCCGCCTTCCAACCATCATGGCCGACTTGGTTAAAAATAGAACATAGGGGTAAAATGCAGTTTTTGGTTTATATCTCTGAAGGTGTAATACCACCATTGATTTTCCCCTATTAGTCTTTGTTAAATTTGCACTTTTCAAAAAATTGTGCAGAATTTATCTTTGTTTCAAATAAAGAAATACTTGGCATGAGTAAAGTTTTATCCTGTCCAGTACTATAGAAAAAATTTCACATAACATTTCATTGCATATAAGAAAATAACCATCACTGGAAGTTAACCAATCAAATTTTCCCCCTTTTTTAACCTGTGTACAAGCTTTAGTAACCATGTAACCTCAAGTTTCCAAAATATTCTATAGAAACCCCAAATAAAGAAATAATGGTGCTTTGAAATACCCAAGATATATGTTTATGACTCAGAAATGTTTTACTGCAATGAAATGTAGGATCAATTACCTACAACTGTCAAATTCAAGGGAATATTTTTTTTCGACCTATTTTCGTATGCAACCGGATGTGACGTACTATGATTTGGTGGTATTACACCTAAAGAAGACTTTTTTGTTGAATAAACTGAATGTGACTTTTTTCCTTTGTAATACTGGTTATTTCAAGCATTCCTGTCAAGTTTTGTCATAATCAGTTCAATAGTTTGAGAAAAATCTAGTATAATGTAAGACGACATCTACAGCGATTCGAGCAAAATTTCTTCGAAAAATTCAAACCAAGCCGCATCATGATAGAATATAGTGTGGACCAATAAATGATCAAATATTTATCTCATCTGCCTACAAACAGTTGAATATGATACAAAAGATGACTTTAGGATGATAAATACTACTAATGGACCTCTTATTCTTCCTTATAAAGTCTCTTTTGGTCCATTTATACCTCTCATTTCCTCAAAATTTCTACTTTTTAGGCCAATAAATAAAAATTTTGGGGTAACTTTCACTCATTTATGATAGAAATGTTATTATAAATGATTAATTGAAGTATTCAAGCTGCTTGAACTATCCGTATAAAAGTTTACTGTCTCCAAGGAGGTTTCAATAAGTCCTTGCGTAAAACTTAAATTTACGCCGTGTTCCAGAGAGAGACATAAAAAACTTCTCTTTTGGTGAATAATTTGTTGTTACTGCTTTAAAAATAATTTCATTTACTTAAAACTATATATTTATTAAAGTATTTCTTAGGAAAAATTTTCTAGTATAGCAGAATATAAGAAATAAGGAGAAAAAGCTCCCCAAGACTCTAAGTATGGCTTGTTCTGTCATCTAATATTCATGGTAAAGTCCTATTTCAAGGAAATTTTCTCATAAAATGTATTTTGGAGACTCCATCCACTCAGAATATTTCATTATTTGTAATATTTCACTTAAATAGCAAGAAATTTTAACACATGAGAGTACTCACAAGGTCAAAGGTGCATGTACAGCTTCCCATATTAGGTGTAATACCACCATTGATTTTCCCCTATTAGTCTTTGTTAAATTTGCACTTTTCAAAAAATTGTGCAGAATTTATCTTTGTTTCAAATAAAGAAATACTTGGCATGAGTAAAGTTTTATCCTGTCCAGTACTATAGAAAAAATTTCACATAACATTTCATTGCATATAAGAAAATAACCATCACTGGAAGTTAACCAATCAAATTTTCCCCCTTTTTTAACCTGTGTACAAGCTTTAGTAACCATGTAACCTCAAGTTTCCAAAATATTCTATAGAAACCCCAAATAAAGAAATAATGGTGCTTTGAAATACCCAAGATATATGTTTATGACTCAGAAATGTTTTACTGCAATGAAATGTAGGATCAATTACCTACAACTGTTAAATTCAAGGGAATATTTTTTTTCGACCTATTTTCGTATGCAACCGGATGTGACGTACTATGATTTGGTGGTATTACACCTGAAACTAAAGCATTTAGAGCAAATCTGACAAGTGGCAAAAATGTTCATCAGATTTAGATTCATCTGCCCTGAAATTTTCAGACGAATCCGACAATCCGTTGTTTGGTTGCTGCCCCTGAGTTAGTAATTTTACAAAAATTTTGCAGTTTTTTGTTATTATCTTAGATATCATTATACTATCTAATATCTAATACTATTAATTATGATTTTAACCTTATTTTACATGATTTCCAAAGCATCAGTAAATTCAGGTGAGCGACACAGGCTCTTGAGAGCCTCTAGTTTATGATATTAGACAAGATCCTAATTTTTGTTCTAATTAATATTTCCAAATTAATATGTTTTAGGTCTAGATTTCATCAGAGCAGAAGGTTTTGTGTTTTCCCATGTAGCAGATGAGGGTATTATGAATGCATGTGCTGGTGACCTGTTAAGATATAGGAAACAGATAGGTGCTGAAGACATTCTTGTTTTTACTGACATAAAAAAGAAGCACAGGTAATTAATCTGACAATGAATGGAAATTTTGAGTCAGATTTCTGCATGGATTCATTTTTGGCTCATTTTTATCCCAAATGAGCAAAAACAAATTTGCTGTTTACAGATTCTGTCTTGGCTCATTATCCTAAATGGCATTTTGCTATGTATTAACACTAGGTGCCTTATGTTATCCATTTTTCTGTTTCAAACTTTTTAAATCTTATTTTTAAAAACAACAGCGCCAGTTTAAATCTCATTTTTTCACAGTTGCCTAATTATTTCATTACCATATACAAGTATCTTACTATATAAATCCTTGTCATATACATATGACAGACATTTGAGACATTAACTGTAGATTTCTTTACTTTCAGGAAGCATTAGTTTTTTCCTAAATACTTTAAACATAATCATACAAGTTTATCATCTCATCATTTCTTTAAATAATGAATTCAATTAAAGTTAAAGGGAAAATTCACGATTTTTTACTTATCATCTTATTATGTTCATAATACCATAAAAAACATATTCCCCAAGTTTTATTTGGATATGAACATTAGTAAAGAAGAAAATTGGGAATTATTATTTTTATTTATTCGAACTTCCTGACTTCTGTGACGTAGTTTAAGTCTTTTTGCATGCTGGGAGTGGTTTAATCTCATTTTAAGTCTTGTTCGTTAATCATATAATAACGCGATTTAAAGGGCATCGACGACTTTTGGCGTAGCTATTAACCAACTAATAATTCAGAAAGAAAAGGGATCAGCCGTGCATCTTTTAAAATTAAAATGTACGATTTATATTTTAAGGATTTCTGATATGATTATAGTAATAAAATTAAATCATACAATAGAATGTTTTTATGATTTTTTTCCAATGGATATGCCGAACAAACATATATAACTGATAGTGTAATAGAAATGCATGTTTGTATTCTCACCTATTACTTCAGTCGAGGGTGTCTTACTATACAAATCCATGCTTCAGTCTAGAACTGTGTAAATACAATGCATGTGTATTATACTGACACCACCTGGTAAAGGCATGGTTAAATTCACGATAATTAAAAGATTAGCATTATGTAATTTTAATATTGTAACATCGAAATTCTGAATTACTTTAAATTTAATATTTTTATAAATAAAAATGGCCCACGAAAACAAGCGTATAAATCAAAACTGTACTATTTTAAATTATCATCGGTAACCTTGAATATTTAAATGTGCAGATAAAATTACCAGTTACATTAATATAGTTTGGTCCGTCCAAAGCGATCTATGGGTCATCTACATTGACCTAAACGGGAATGCCCTTATCAAAATATTCTAAATCTCACAATGTAGAAATTCTTTAGTTATTTGACCAACGATGTTCAAAATTTTTTACAAAATCAACTTTCCTTTTTTGAATGGAGACAGACTGGCAGAATTAATTTTTAATATGCTTTTATCTTGTACCTTTGCACTGAGACTAGTCTCAGCTTTGCAAGACTTATCATTCATTCATAAACCCACTCTAAACCAGAGACACATATACATCTTTTTTAACTGACAAGATACTCCCAAAGCAGACAAGCAGTATATTCTTTAAATTTTTGTGATTTAATACCAAGAAAGGAAAAAATCCCGAAATTAATTTGATACTTTGATACTCAATATTTTTCCTGGAAAATATGCACATCCTCATTCGGTCTGAAAAAAAGATAAGAATTTGGTATACAGAACATGCAGAACTGTGAATGTCATAAAACCTAATTGTTATATCAGAAACCATTATAAATGTGAACCTGTATACGTAAGACCTCATGGGACTTCACCTAACCACATTCAGGTAATATACAAGTAGCTCTGTAATACCCGGAACTACTGATAAAGAATGTAGCAATGCAAAGAAAATTCTGACGATTGTGAAGTCTGACCATTCATGATTTTAAAGGCGTCTTAAGCGGGATATTGCCGGAACAATTTAAATTCTTACTAGGTTTTTTTCTCAATTTAAATCACTGAACTGGAAAAAAAAAAGAAAACTACGTCCAAGAACAGAATTCTTCTTGTAAATTCATAAATACAACGTTCTTATTTTGTAACTTTCGATAGACTTGACCTCCTAGAGATGTATACATGTCTCTGTTCACTTATAAAAATAACAGGAAAGTATAAAATAAACTTGAAAAGGATTTTTGATGAATACTATGCAACCGGGACACCCCTTTTGATCACAGCGTACATGCATGTATTTAAATGACTGTCCGTTATTTCAATTAAGAATTGCAATCATACGCAAAATCCTATTATAGTTCATGGTGAGACTTTTTCTACCAGATACGCGACTTTTCGTATTTATATTTTCTCTTGTATTACTCTCATTTAATATTTTATGCATAAGTGCAATATTAGGAATGGTTTATCCCCCCCTTTTTTTAAGCTAACTAAATAAATTAATCAACCCTCTAGCTGACCAGACGTTAATACAACTACTATCAGTCTATTCAGAGTGAAGTTTCTTTATTTCTTCAAATAAGCTTTTTGGGGATCATTAGTGTACGTCCAGTGGCATATATATTACATGCATGTCGGAACAGGAAAATTGACATGAGGTACTACCGGTATTAGAACCATGTTCACATTATTATACATAATACATAACCATTGAGATGATGATGACTTTTTAAACTGTTCAAAATAATCTAATTGAAATAAAAATCTGTGATTTTACTATGTGCATAACTTCGATGAACCAAAGCAAGTTAGATATCGACCTGTATTTAAATCAGATTGGTTTTGGATGTTTCTCTCGTATATTCAGTATACATGTATATATTCTAAATTGCGACTATCTATAGTTCCGTAACCTTCTATCTAGGTGTATAAGCCAATGATCGACAAGTGCGTACATTTTGAAAAATCAATATTTGTATGTTTCAAAATGTCCATAATTATTGACAACGAGTAATTACTTACATTTTCCCTAATTTACGTTTGGAAAATATGTAAATATATTTTTATTTTATCAAATCTTTTTTGGGAATTATTTAGATTTTCATAAATATTCTTTACACCATAAATGTTATTTATAAACCAGCGTATGAGACAATCAGATTTTAGTCATATGGCTATTATATCTATGGTTAAGTAAAGACTAGTATATCATTATCGGACACGCAAGACAAAGATGTATATTCACCTGATAGTTTCAAAATGGTGTTACACGTTATCGGCCGTGTACACTTCTCAATACCCTCAGAGGTGAAGTGATGCACGAACTTGCTTTATATAATTGTGTAATAAGAGTTTTAAAGCCCGACAGGAAATCACTTGAATACCTGGACGTGTCAAATTACAATACCTCTGGGAACAATTCCTTTAGCCATGCTGGTGATCAGATAAGGGAGGGTCCGAATTTATTTAAATAAGATTATTACATAAAAGAATTATGAACACACTAGATTTTCGAAAACAATTTTACATGGAACACTTATTTATCACTTTGAACTTTTTAACTAATTTCCATTTAAATTTCTTGTTTCAAAAACTTAGTAAAAAAAAAAACAGTTTCAAAACGACAGACCATAGTATTAGTTATTAAAAATATTATATATAATTAAATTTTCCGTATCAAGTTAGTTAGGAAAGGTTGCATGCACAACCATGTCTATTATAATCTTTTTTTCTGTTTATGCTTTCCTTGTCGGGTAAAACAACCGTACGCTTGACAAGATATCGACACTCAATTACGGCTACGTTAGGTTACTGCTTTTTTGGGTCCTTTGTGGTTTATAGATATATCGTGGTTTCTATTCGGGGATGATGTCAAAATGGCTGCACGCGGAGAAGTGATACTCTAAATTTAAAATCGATGGTGATCTCTTATCTAGCAGAATTAAACTTTAATATTTATGAATTTGTGCTTTTTTATACATAATCAACATAATATCAATTTTTCATTTTTTTGCGAAGTATCCCTTTAAGGTAAGTCATTATAACATAGATAATGGATGGCAATCTACAATTCACAAAATTTAGATGTGATAATTATGGTTTTTCTTGATGTAATGCTAGTCTAAGATGCACCTCGACTATTACAATCATTGAGTTTGTGCAAATGTACTGCTTTTATCATGATATATATTCTTGGGCATATGTATCAAATAAAACATGTAGGTATTGACATTCATATTAATTTAAATCCTAATACATGTATTCTTCAAGGTTTTTTTTTAATCATGAATTTTACATTAGCTTTTGTCTGCAATATCCATTTTCAATACACAAATTCAATATAAGCTTATTTGATAAATTTCTAACATTTTCTGCTAATTGCCAAAACATGTTAGTGTTAAAACATCAGCTTTTCCTACTATATGACCAGTTTGGTGGTACTGCATGAATATTAATGTATATGTAATGGACATTTTCAAACTTGCAACACTGTATGCATTGAACTCCATCTAGCACACAAATAAAACTGTCAAAATTACTACTGAATGGTCAATACAAGAAAATGAGTATGGCAAATGTTATGCCATTTCAGTCTACAAATAAGACAGACACATTTTGTTATCATAGCTATCTACTATTGATGAAAACATCACTATTTTATGGATTTCTGCCATTTTGGAGACTGTATTATAGTTAAAGCAAGTTTCCCTTTTCCTAAGAGACTTGCATTGAATTTACTGTTCTCTTACATCAGGCATATGAAGTTGTTTTTGACAACAAAACAACCGAATAAGTTTATCAAACATTAGTAAATACTCTTTTATTTCCCAGGTGACAGATTGCACAAAATTATTGTTCATATCTCTTATTAATATTGGCATGAAGATAATTCTTAACATGGAACTTTTCAAAATTTGTTATCAATTTCAGCTTCAGAAGTTACGATGCGAAATGTAGTCTTAAGTGTTTTTTTGTGTTACTTGCAATGTGAGTTGGAGAATACAAGACAGGGATGCTTATCTCTAATTAACAAGCAATGACAGGTTTAACTATTTGTATAATTTTATTATATTTTAGAAG